AAAAAAAAAAAAAAAAAGTAATGAAAAAAAAAAAACAAAGATCAAATTAGGTCAAAACTTATGGCAGCATCCTTTGACGCCATTACCACAAGAGCCGACCCTTTCTTCTTGGAGCTCTTGATGACCACATCTTCCACACCACCAAACTCCTCGAAAATTTCCCTAAGCCCCTCAGCCGTGTAGTCATTTCCAACCTTTTCCCAGGAGACTTTAACAATTTTCTCCATATCCAATGTCACACCCTCAACATCAATTCCTTCTTTCCCCTTTGCATTATCCGGCATAGTCTTCTTGTGCATTGCTCGAATTTTATTGATCTCATCCTTCAGCTTTTGGGCTATTATCATTTCTTCCTCCTCCCGAGCTCTCACGGTGGGGTCCAAGGAGAAAACAGACCTCTCCTTTTCCTCGAGATCCGACATCATTTTCCGGCGCTTGGAATCTTTTTGCCCCTTACGGTTGAGCTTATTTTCCCTTTTTCACTCTGAGTAGGTCGTCGAACAATTTCCGAGCCTTTTCATCCTTGAGGACTTCATACGAGGTCTGGAGTTTAAGAAAATTGGCGTGTGCATTAGGATCGTTATGCCTCTTGTCGGGATGCAGCTCGCGGGCCTTGGATCGGTAGGCTTTGTTGATCTCTTGATCGGTAAGCGCGGCACCTTCCTTGCCGGACGGCAAGCCCAGAACAGTATAATGGTCGACTTCAGCATCCATACTACTATTTTATTGGTTGAGTTTACTAGCAAAAGGAAAGAAAAAATTTAGAAATTTATGAAGTAAAAGAAATTCGAGAGCAAAAATCCATGCATGGTTTAGTATGTGGTGGTGTTATGAAGGCTACTAGTTCACATCTTCACATCATGTTTTTTTCCATAGCCAATCATAGAAGACAGGGAACGATTATCTTATTGCTATCAATAAGATTATGTCATAAATTACTGATCTCCTCTTACACAATTTCCCGCAGAGTTCCATGTTGATTTAAAGTGTATGCTTTTAGAAGATGGGGAAAAAAATGGCCGAAAAAAAACAGCATATTAAAATCATATAGCTTCAAAACCCAAGCTTAAACAGAAAAAAGAGAAGGGGAAAAAACAAACAGGACCATTGTCAATGGGTTTTCCAGACCATTAAAGATACGACCAATTGAAAACCTGTAAACAAGTTGCGGTAAAATTCTAATATAAGAAGAATCTAAAATGACAAATTACAAAAATGAAATTGTATTAGGATTAAGTTATTATGAAGTACAAAGTACTGCACCACATCAGAATCCTATATCTTTAACTAATTGAAAAACCCTGATGGGCCAGAGAACAAGCAAAGTGTCATATGCAAGCAGATTACCAATCCTAACATGAGCAATAGACTAATTGCAATTCCATGTTCAAGTGTCCTAAAAATCATGCATGTTCTGCAAATCAATCATTAAACATACCAAAATACTTGTTTGGACAGTTAAATTCATGTACTTCATCAACTGAAATAACAACAAAAGCAATAGTGTAATCATTTTTATTTGTAAGAGAATCATATGTGCCCACTAAATTTTTCTTTTCTATATTATAACTCTGTTTAGACAGAGAATGGGGATGAAAACTCTGTTCAACCGCTACCTCCCCCGGTAAGAAAATCATAAAGAGAGATACGAGCAATGTTAAATGACTGTACCTCCCCAGTAAAGTGGATAGTTGTATATTTGTTGTCAACTCCAGAAGTTCCTTCGAAAACCTGGTCAAGAAAACAAGGGAAAGAAAAATTTCACTCTTTCTTTCAAGAAATCCCTAACGTACTCCAATTAGAGAACTAAACTCAAGTGAACATGTATAACTCAAATATTTAGAGGAAAAGGGGCCCTTCAAGCAGGTAGCTCAAGTGATGTCACACAAGCCTCGAAGGGTCAAAAAGAAAGTAAGAAACAAAAACGAATTTTACATCTTGCCTACAATCTAGTGTAGCAGAAAAATCGAAGATAAAACAGAATATAGGAATTACAGGTTATAACCGACACTATTACGAAAGACCACTCAAATATACCGATTCCAATCTCTACAGTCTCCACATCAAAACAGTTTTTGTGCAACATCCATAATTAACCTAAAAAATCCACGATAAATCAAACCATTATGAAAACAAAATCAGCAATTTGAGTCAGAGAATTAAATGCTTCTCGAAGCAACTAGAGAATACATCATCTTTGTTCAGTCCCTTGATTATCTACTTCATAGTCAAACACATGGTCAGTCTCAACATTGCTAAAGCTCATTTCTTTTTCGTCTTCCTTTGATACTCGGAATTCGACCCAAATTCGACACCAAAAATGCACAGATGAATGCAAAAATAGAAAACCATCACAATTCACAATCAACACCCAACAGCTACAGCAAAAGACCCATATTCAATTTCACCAAATAATACCAACCCAGAGCCTTAAACTCCATTATATATCATCCCAGAGCAAATTAAAGAAGATTAAACACTTACAATCACCGGAATCAGCGACTGGAAAATCATAACAACACAAATCAGAATTGCTTGAACCAATAATGAAACTGAAATTGCTCAAATCGAATTGGGAAGAACCCTAATACCTTTCAGTCTCTGAGGATTGGAGATTTTAAGATTAAGCCATATGGGCAAGAGCACAAATCGAAATTGAGATTCAAACGGCTTGGATTGAGTTAATTTGTCGGTACATGTCAAATCATGCTTGCATATCATGTGAGGTTTTTTTTTCCCCTCGTTTTGTTCGACCAGTTGGAAAATTTTCGAGGCAACTGAATTGATGAAAACGATATGGATGGAGGGTACAACCGGTGAAGCGTTATTTACCTTGGCTGCTGTAGTAATTTTGGGGTTTTTTTTTTATTTATTATTTTTTTTATCAAGGTACAACACGATCAAGTTAGACATGGCCATTTAACGGGCTGGATCCGGTCCGGTTGGTCACCGGGCCTAAAAACAGATGCCCGGAATTGGTCGGATGTAGGTACGGGCCGGTTCAGAGGCTCGACGGTTCGGGACCATCCGGTTTACAGAGCAAAAAAGAAAAAATTGAACGTCTGGCCTTCTCCAAGCCTGAAACCGGCTTGTCTCCGAACTTGATGATGCGAATTGTCGAATGTGCCAGAATAATAAAGTTGTTGAGCCAGCTATGAAGTTGATAAGTGGGATACGTGGCATTTGTCTGACCTGGCGAGGACAGTTGTGCGAATTGTGATTTGGATAATTCAATTGAGTTTCGAGCCTTCGGATCACACACACCCAACATTTTCCATTATCTCCTTCAAGCAGACTGATAATAGTTTTCATTCACAAACAAGAGCATCTCCAACGCTATAAGTATGAATGACAATGATTTTTAACACATGTCAATCAGTGATTTTAACGTTAATCCACATAAGAATAATGTTAAAAGACTATAAATTTGAACCAAACTAATATGTCCAATGCATCAATTTGATACGATGTTATTCGTATAGATACACCAATTAAAATAATCATTAATACAAGAACAATAAAAAATGAAATCAAATATAAACTGAATTGAGAGACAACTTTTGTCGCCGGCAACTAAAGGGAGAAAATGTAATAACTTGAAGAAAAAAAAAAAAAAGACAAACAAACAACCATAAAATCACTATTTGCCTTAAGATTGCCAAAACATATAAATTGTGATTAAAATGAAAATAAAGACCATAATTTGTTATGCAAATTTTGACTAGAATAATCAGTTTGCAGCTCTCAATTTATGGACCCCAAATCTATTCGTGTATCAACCAAACTAACCGATCCACTCACTGAGTTAACTCAGTTGATTCCAACTACCTCAGATCATCATAACATCTTGCATGTACAAAAAATTACCAGAAAATCTCAGGTGAAAAAAAACAACACTATTAAACATAATTTACTACAAAAGAAGATAAACACCAAGTGAAACTGTCCCAAAAAATCTGCGAGATAAGCATGAGCCAAATCGAACGATCTTCCCATATAATAAACGCAAATACGCTACCATTTTTTCTCAGCCTCATTTTGGCATTGTAAACGAATGGCGAGTACAGTACACATTAGTCTTTGGTTAAAAAAAAAAGAAGAAGAAGAAGAAAACAAGGAAAAGGTTATTACAGTACATCTTAGAAAAGAATTCAAAGGGGGGGCACGAAGCATGGTTCCCCTTTTGATACTCGGGAAAATAAAAAAGTTACCTGTATTCACACATGCGAAGAAGCAGTAAGTACAACAGGTCGAATTATGAAAAACTATAGATTTTCAGGTCAAGATTGGTTCGGTTGGGCCTTTGACCGAAATGTTGGGGCATCGGTTTGAGCTGGCTCGGTTAACGAGATGCGAGTCGAGAAAAACGACAACAACCGTGATGTCATCGTGAAAATGACGGCGGACCCCACGGTCGATTTTCTTGAGATCAGAATACCTCATTTCCCTCTTCTTGGCCGCCACCTGTAAGGCTGCTTTCACTAGTCTACGGGCACTACCCTGCACAAATCGAGGAGATTTGATTATGATATTTAGTTTTCTTGTTCGCTTCTTAGAACTGAAAGTAACTTGTCGATTTTTTGAAAAAAAGAATATCAAGAATTTTCATTTTATTAAAATCTGAGTTAGGCTATGTTTGGTAAACCTAGTTGATAAGCTAACTTATAGCTGATAGGCTAGCTTATAAATATTAAGTGAAATTTCGAGCTTATAGCACATAACGTATGATTTATGACTGAAAAACTAGCTTATATGACAAAAATGTTTGGTAAATATCTCATGAGTTAAGCTAAAATAAAAATTTCAATTGGCTTATTTGAAAAACTAACCAAAGAAACTTATGAAATAAGTTCGAGCTTTTTAAAAAAGCTTGTCCTACCAAACCATTTGGTAAAACTAGATGATAAGCCAGTTGATAGCTTATTAGTAAATTTCGAGTTTAATATATCTTATAGCTGAAAAGCTAGCTTATATGATAAAAATGTTCGGTAAATTAGCTGATAAGCTAGCTGAAATAAAAATTTCAACAAACTTATTTGAAAAGCTACCTTAAGAAGTTTATCAAATAAGGTCGAGCTTTTTAAATAAGCTCGTCCTACCAAACGGAACTTATTTAAATACAGGGAACTTATAAACTAATCAAATAAGCTATAAGCTAGCTTATTAGTCTACTAAACATAGCCCAAACTTATTTTAATACAGGAACTTATAAGGTAATTAAATAAACTGTAAGCTAGCTTATATGCTTACCAAACATAGTCTAATAGCTTATGACTTATGGTTGAAAAGCTCTTATATGGTAAAAGTGTTTGGTAAAAATTAGTTGATAAACTAGCTGAAATAAAAAATTCAAGAAACTTTATTTGAATAGCTATCCAAGTAAGCTTATGAGATAAGCTCGAATTTTTTAAAAAAAACTCGTCATATCAAAACCAAACTTATTTGAATATAGAAAACTTATAAGCTAATCAAAATAAGATATAAGCTAGTTTATATGTTTACCAAACACAAACACAGCCTTAAAGTGTAATGGGCTGCTCGTTCTGCGCAAATTGTAAAGCAAAATCTCAGTAAGATTTTTGCATTTTAGTCAAGTTAAAACACAAATTTGTCAACGTGTTTTCAGCATAAGAAAAAAAAAATAAAAATAAAAAAAAAAAATCTTACGCTTCGTGGATGGTTTTGAACTAAGTCAACAGCTTCTTGGTTAGTGAGATGCTCCCAAAGACCGTCCGAAGCAAAAATGATAAACTGATCGTGAGGTAATATCGGGTGCACGGTAATCGATGGTTCTGAGCTCAAAATCGGTCTTTTGAAAGGCTCACGAAGTCTGAATTTCTGGTACAGAGGCTCCCTGTTGTATTCGGGCTTTTTCAAATACACATCCCCGATTGATCTCGAGATCTGCAAACAAATATCTCATATCAACCAACTCGGGGATTTATCGATTTTTTTTACCGTATTAAAAAAGATAAAATCGTGAGGAAAAAGTGATAAGAAACCAAAAGCTGACAAATCTATGTGGAGATAATCGAAAACCAAAAAATTTAAAAAAAAAAAAAAAATGTAAAAAGCAATGAATTCCACAGTGTAAGGAATTGTAGTGAATAGCTCTCTATATGTTTTCTTTCTCAAGTCAAATTATCCCCACAAGAACCATGGAGCAATCTCATATGATAGAATCGTACATAAAAAGCGGTATCGGCAATTTGGCAAACAAATTTCGAATAGAAACTAAAAATATATAACAAATATTAACGGAAACTAGAAAATCACAACAAGTCAGCCATGCTTTATACTCCATTCAATATCAAGAGTCGCAACCAAATCACCTTAATTATTCACCACTAACACACATACACCAACAACTTAAGCAAATGATGCTTTTCTCATTATCCAACATATTAAAAAATGCCTTTAAGGGTGTGTTTGTTTAAAGTTCATACTCAAAATCTAACTCAAGTTTAACTCACCTTCAATATTGTCAATATAATTAAATGATACCAATCAATTAAATCATTCTTACGCATCACATCGACTTTAATTCACTATTCATCCACTCACATAATTTTAACTAACCATCACTTCACATCATCTCTCTCCTGCGTTTACGTAAACTCAAAATCTTACTAATCAACTTGTATCCAAGAACGCACTAAAGGATTGATCCCAGCAATCGAAAATTCTAATCAAACACACGAATAAACACAAATAAAGAAAGAACGAAATAAAGAAAGAACTAAACCTGTATAAGTCCCTTGACTCGCCACACATTATGCCTCAGAACCACAATCTGTGAATCGTCCGGGTGCAAGGACTGAAGCTCCTGCCTTACGGACTCGAAGCTAGCATTATGCTCGGCTGACAGCTGGAGGGCAATTACTTCACCTGTGGACTTGACGAGCCTCCCTAAGACAGCTCGCGAGTCTCCCAAGTTGGCCACGTAAAGGGTCCCACCGCAGATAACGCCAGCAAGGCAGCACGAGCCAACGGCAGCAATTTGCGGCTTCAAAGGCCACTGCCTACTGACAAGCGAGGAGAACCCGTTTTCTGTTGCTTCAAATGCCTTTCGGATGGCTTCTACTGACATAGATTGATGCTCGGCCGTGAAGTCTGCCAGATTATAAACTCATAAGGGCACGAAATTGAGAATACAATCAATTTGAGTGGTTATATATATGAATGCGTGTGTGGTGTAGTTTATAACGTTCACGATGCTAAGTTCTGCAACAGATTCGGCATAATTTACTATTTAGATTTACTAATTTGAAAACCTGTGCCCACAAAGTTGAGAACTTTCACTTGGTCAATTTCAAATGTCTAATTTTCCGAGGTTACAAATGTATGATAAACCAACTAACTTACACTGGTGCCACAACAAATCACCTTCGGTAAATGCAAAAAATCCTCACGCACTCAAAATCACATGCTAAATGCAACAAAACATAGACAAAATAAGAAGTCCCACAAACGAACAAACGCCCCATATTAAAAGATGCTAAATATTGCATGTAACTTTTAAACACCACCACGATATCTCTCAAGTGACCCTTTTCATTTCCTTTACTCAAAACTTCTCAAAAAACAAATCTAAGGAGAGACTTACTCTTCAGATGTTGGAAGAGATTATCATTGATGAACCTCGAGGTCTCGGGACCTCCATGTCCATCATAAACCCCGACGAAAGTGCCGTAAGGCCCTAAATCGCTCGTGCTCAAACAACCGGACTCGAGTTGGGTCTGATCCTCGAGTAAATTATTCGCCTGAACTACAGCCATCGAGAAATCACCATTAAAATGTTGGCCCGAGTCCTTGTACCACAAAAGCCCGTCTTGACGGGCAGCAGCATCCGAGCCATCGTGAATATATTGATCTCCTCTCGGCCGAAAACAGGCCCATAAAAAGTTCATCAACCCAGATAACATCCCTCATCTCATCTAAACCACCCACCAAAATATCAACATCTCGTGAGCACTCCAAATGAAACTTCAGAAACTATGATTGTCTATATCAACTGCTTCTTCCCAAATTTGAAAGCAGCAACTATGGCACTTAGCTTCTAGCAAAATAAAAATCAAACACAAATCATCACAGATAAGAAGCAAGGGTTTTTAATGTGAAACCATATATTACACAGTAAAATACTTGCAGAAACACAAGCGCCGCAAAAATAAAAATACAAATAAATACATATGCCATAAATGAATTGATGTCAACACGGGGGGGCCAAAAAAAAAAAAAAAGGATTTTTTGAAAACTAGAGGGGTCAAAATCAAATTTTTCTTCCGGTACTCGTTTGATCGGCGTTCAAAAATTTCAAGAATATTCAATTCCCCCAAAATCCAAATCGAACCCCAACCCCAAAAATGCAAATTTCACAAATATAGGGGATTCAAAAATAAATATGCTGCAGCATTTGTAGTTACTGAAAGATGTGAAAATGAAAGAGGTTTAGATCTATGGATCCATAATAAAAGAAATTTTTTTGAAAAGCCCAACAAAACAGAAGTTGAAAAAGAAGGAAAAATCACAACTTTTGAAGTGGTTTCTACTTTCTTCCCCATTTCAGCTTACCTCGGAGAGTAATTTGCAAGAACAAAGAAGATGATGAATACTGATAGATGAGGAAAAAAAAAGACTTGGGAAAAAGGGGCAAATAATATAGTGAGAAACAGATAACTGTGAGTAAAAAATGAATTATCAAATCAATGAGAGAGAGAGAGAGAGAGAGAGAGAGAGAGAGAGTGAGAGAGGTTTTACTGTTTACTATCACCGGGTGGGTTTGATTGGGGCAGCCGAAAGTTGGGTATCTCTCAGCAGACAAAACCCATTAAAAACCAGCAATGGAGAGCTTCAAAGCCAGCAAAGCAGAGGACCAGTTTTCAGGCTCCACAGAGAAAATCTTTAGAGAGAGAAAGTTGAAACTGAAAAAAGTAACACATGTACAAAATGGAAGGACATGGGAAAGTGAAGATATAAAGACTAGAGAGACATTTAATTTACATTTTTGATTTTTTAGTATCAGTTGTGTTACGAAGCCAACAGTTGGCTTAAAATATCAAAACCGTTTTTAGTATATAACAATAATTTCACTTGCGTTCTGTAAATCATGGTAGTGTTTTTATCTCCTGTTGATTTATGAGTACCACTGTAAACGATCCGAGTCGAGTTTGAATTTGAGATCGATTGTTTGTTGAATCAAGCTTAATTAATGATCTAATAAACAAACTCGAGCTTAGATCATTAACAAATAACAGACATTAATAATTTTAAATAACGTTGAACATTTATAAAATCAATAAAAATACTATTTGATAGACTTAACGAGTCGAATTGAATTATGTTCGTTAACTAAACGAGTTTGAGCTACCTTGTGGGGTTCACGCAGAGGCGAATGTAGATGTATTATTGGAGGAACAAATTCCCCCCTCAAATTTTAATTTTTTTTACTATTGATATTAAAAAATTTAATTTGTACCCTTCCCTCCTCTTTAAATTTATTTTTGCACCCCCAAATTTTTTGTTTTTGGCCAACTTGTCCACAATTGTCAATTAACAATTCAACACTTCTTTTATAATTTTGTATATTAATTATCATCGTTCTACAATTTTAATTGGCCCATATAATTAAAAGACTTCAACTCTCTTTTATTGTCCAAGCTAGGGCTGATATTTTTTTACCAAAAACTGGAAACCGAACTGAATCGAACCAAACTAATGAGAAAATAAACTGAACTGAACCGACTTATGTGTAACTGTAACAAAAAATCAAATACCGAAATGTTATCGATTCGGTATCGATTTTGAACCTTGAACCCATTATGTCGTTTCTTTTGCCCCCTCTTAACTAATTTTCTAGTTTCGTCTTGGGTTCACGAGCAAGTTGTTTATAACAACTCTAGTTATGAGATCGGTCTTTTTTTTCCTTTATTTAAGATTCTTTTATTAATTAAGATGGAATGTTCCAATTCAAACATATAAATATGTTTAAAAGTTGGAAAATAAAATATACTTGGAGGTGGAAAAAAACACACAAGATGAATGTCAATGTAGAATAGTGCATGAATTTTCCATGTTATGAGCCTCCATCCTCTGGGCTTCTACCACGTGCACAATTGATTGATTTTTATTTTTCATGAGAGCATTTTAAGAAAAATAATAATAATAATAATTGTGAGTTTTAATGTGATTAATTCTACGTAGCAAAAATAAAAATAAAATTAAGTGGATTGAAATAATTCAACAATGACGTGTATAATAAGTTCAAATATGATGTGACCACTATAACTAAATATAATAAAATTCTAACTATTGTTAAATAGTTGTTATAGATTCATTTTGTACAACAATTAATCAATATTTTATATTTTTATTTACTGATTTACATGAATTGTAAAAATCAATAAATACTGTACATCAACTCTACAACAAGTCCATAAGTACGTTACCATGTTATAATGAAATATAAACTTTAAAGTAATCAATGGGAGATGCTACAGTCCCGTTACCGCACCATTTCGTCGGGGTTTGTAACCGTTAGATCATCGTGTAACCGTCGGGAATAGTTGATCTAACGGTTATAAACCCCGACGGAATGGTTCCGTAACGGGACCTTAGCATTTTCCAGTAATCAATATTGGTTTACTGGCACGTTAAACTATTTAGTTATACGTTGGACCAAAATTAACTATGGACATTTGTTGGCAGGGGCGAAACCACATATTACATCGGAGAGGCGTCGATCCTTCCAAAAAAAAATTGAACTAACGGTGGGGGTTTTGCTGGAACTAGAAGGACGTCCTTTGAGCGCCCTTCCGATGCAGGAGTGGGGGTGGTGCGCCGCGGGTTGGCCGGAGGGGTTAGATTGTATTTTTATTTTATATAATGTTATTTGGACGATAATTTAAATAGTTTGCATTTATTTTTGTGTTTGTGTTTGGTTTTGTCGTGAATTTTTTTTTAAGGCAAATTGGGTCCTCCCCAAAACGGGATCCTGGTTCCGCCACTGTTTGTTGGTTGTCTTAAAATGATAATTAAATGTATAGAGAATGAAGAACATACTAAATTATTTATATTATAGGATAAATTGTATATATATTTATACACATACATATAATTAAAAATATATTATTGTGTCATTGTTAAGCACACGTACCATCCTAACTAAATAATTATAAACCCCACTAACTAAATTGTTAGCTAAAATTAATTTTCCACCTATCTAGCATCAAACTATATGTATTTTTTTTTTTTTGAAAAATGCTACATTGCCAACTTAGTGTACAACTAGGTTGACAACACAAGTGTAAACATCCACTTGTGTGTTTTTTTTTATTTTTAATTTTATGAGTGTTTACACTTGTGTTATCAACCTAGTTGTACACTAAGTTGGTTATGTAGCATTACTCATTTTTTTTTTCCTAATTTTAAGAATTCATCTATTGATTGTCCATATATATTGACTAATAAAAAGACACTGAAAAATGAGTAATTTGAAACAAATAGAAAAAGGCATGATGAGCGATCATGATTGAGGTTTAATTTTGTTTGCCTTATCTTAACAATCAGCTTACAAAATCGGTGACAAAGGATAACGTTCTTCAAAGCAACAAAAACAATGCATTTAGCCTCACTTTTCCATGCTGCATTTAATACGTGGAGCCCCCAAGCTCAAAATTGCACAAAATAGAAGAAAAGAAGAAAAAATGGTAATTAAATGTTCACATTAATTTATGAAAATAAAAATACTGAAATATATTACATTTGTTGACAACCGACTTGGTCAGCCGAATCAGGAGACGCCACGTGGAAGGCTAATCTCCAATACTCAACTAAGTATCGAAGGACTAGAGAGGAAAGCCGACTTGGCAAAGTTTAGCGTGAAACTCGAAGTACGCCGACCTCATCAACAGGACGAGGACTGATTTCTATGAAGAATCACGAGACCGACCTCCATTTGAAATCGAGGTCAAACGAACATAGACGAGACGCATGACAGTCAACCGTTTGCTGCACATGTCTTTATCATTACTTGTGTGCCCACTTGTAGAGTAGCCGCCCCTATATTGTCAATTCGCATTAAATGTCGTCGAATCACTCTCAAAAGGCGAGCCATAGATAGAGTGTCCAACGACGGCTTGCAATCGGGACGGAGAGAAGACTAGCTAAAAAACCTCTTAAATCGGGAATTTAGCCCGTCTCAAGCGAATCAGCGGTGGGTTTCTGACATAACGTATATTGAAGCTTTTGCCTCTGTTCAATACATAATGACGGAAGCTAACTTTGGTTGGTTAATTCGATCAGTTCATCGATGGTCGGCAAGTATGAATTCTCAAGTTTGGATGTGGCGATGACCAAGTCATCACCAAGAATTGCGTAGTCCCATAATCGCTTCATTGGCTTCACCCTATACCCAACGGGGACTTCAACTACCGCCGAAAAGGGTTGGAATACGCTAAAAAACTAACTCAGTTCCACGTAATTAAACCGACCTTTTGTATAAAAAACCGACTTCATAATAATAATAACACCGCTAATAATTTACAACCTTCTTTTCACTTAATTTTCGTAATTATCGATGTTAAATTTCGCATGACAACAACATTATAAGTGTAAAATATCGATACATCTAACCGTTGTGTCACATCACAAATTTTTAAGTTTTGTGACATACAAATTATGTCATATGATTAACGTAAATACATATTTTCCTATGATTTAAAAAGAAAGGAAGAATATATGTTGATGTAGCACCAAAAATAACTCGGTGGACTAGCCTGACCGGTTAGCTCGGATAAGGCCGGTCCAAAGGAGCTTGAAGCCTAATTTATGTGACAAACGGTATTAGTTAAAGATAATGATGAAAGTTAGTGTATATCTACACAGTTATTGAGGAGTATCAAAATTCTTGTTTATTGAGAAAACT